AAGAAAGAAAGAAAGAAGAAGAAGAGAGAGAGAGAGAGAGAGAGAGAGAGAACGTTGGGAGAAGATTAAAAAATGATTTGCATTGAATTAATAAAGATAAAAAATGAAGTGCTTTTTGTATTTTATAAAACATTGAGAAAATTTTTGAAATGTTAATTTGGTCCCATATTTAGTTAATTACATTTTAAAGAGGATTTGATCAGCTCTTGGTCAATATGTCACCAAAAATAAAACCAAGACTTATTTGACACCTTTAATTTAATTTTCTCAAGTTATTTTGGGTTCAAAACATGGAGAAGGCTAAGGTTCTTTTAAGGAAGAGGGGATAGTGGGGTTTGGCAGAGAGGGTGTTAGTAATAAGGTGTGGAATGGGGGAGGATGGCGGGGTTTGAGAAGTGGGTTATTTTTTATTAATCAAATAAATTAGTTTAAGTGATTGGATATTATACTTTTAATACTAAATATTAATGTACTGTTAACTTTGTAACAAAAATAAGCTTTAACCTATGAAAATAAAAGGATTAATTAATTGAGTTGATCTGTTTTCAAAAATAATTTCTTATTTTAAATATATTATTCAATTATTACAATTTGTAACATTATATAACAACACCAAATGTTTTATTTGATTTGCTTTTCCCTATCGGCTTTTAAATTTTCACTTTTCGCTGTCTCTCGCTTTTTTTAATTTCTCACTCTTTCTTCCTCTATTTCTTTCTAACTTTCTATATCACTATTTTTTCCACGCTTTCTGTTTTGTTTCTCTTTCTCCGTCTATTTATGTTGCTCTTTTTTTCTCTTTTTCTCACTACTTTTTTCGTAGAAAAATCGATGATCTTAGATTGAATAAAATGTATTTTAATAATTAATTAGACCAGATACCTAGTCTTAAAAAATGAGACACATAATAAACTTCCAATGAATTATATTGAAGTAGAAATGTACTAAATCCATGTTAAAGTTGAAATAGAAGAAAATTAAATACGAATGTCAAATGTAGCTTATGAAAAAATAAACATTCTTCTATTTGTAAACTGAATAAAACTTCCATCAATAATAAACTAACCAAGTGATTCAATCGTAACATATCAACCAATAAATTTAGAAGTTGAATTAAACTTGTCTTTGAAAATGTATTACACATATATTAAAATTAAATAAGAAGAAACAATTAAACATGAATAAAAAAAACAAATTAAAGAAAAGACATTAATTTATATGGTGAATTAAAATTATATCAATAATGAATTAAACTAGTATGAAATAGAAACAAATAAATAGAAAAACTGCAAGATTACTTAAATTTGTATTAAAATTGCATTACGCAATATTCAAGTTGAATTAGAATAGAAAATCAATAATGGATGAGAACTGTAATTAACGAAAAACAAGAGAATGATCTACAAAATGAATTAAACATATCTTTGTGAACATATATAACATGTATTATATGAGTTGTACATATTATTTTGATTACTATTATCAAGAAATAGGTGATATTTGTAATATGAATTAAATATGTGGTGTTCCTGTAGAATAAATATATTATAAGTGCATTATCTAAACTATTCAATTTTTTTTAAAAAAGAAATGAGAAAAATATGCACGATTTGTTAGACGTTTGATTTTGCTTTACTAGAAAACAAATTCAATATTTTCCCCAAAACTATTCTAATTGGTATCAAAAAGAAGAGGATACATGTGAATTACCTAAATTATTCTAATTGGCATCACCAAAAAGAAGATAATTTTGAAAATGTATTATAAAAGTATAGTTCATGATTTTGATTCAATTTTAATACAATCATAAAAAATATCTAATTCAATTTTAATACATATATTTTTAATAAGTATTAAATATGTCTTACTCCTGTATTATAAATATATTATAAGTGAATTGCCTAATTTATTTTAATAGGTATCACAAAGAAGAGGATATACGTGAATTACCTAAATTATTCTAATTGGTATCACAAAGAAGAGGATATATTTGAAATATGTAATATAAAAGTGTAGTCCATGATTTTAATTCAATTTTAATATAATTATGAAACAAATCTAATTCAATTTTAATATAGTTGCAGAACAATTCAAAAATCTTCATCTCTTAAGAATTTTAATTTGAAATTTCTCCTAAAATAAATGTTAAACATAATCAATCTCCTTTAAAAATAAGTTATAAACTCCAATTGTTATTTTCAATAATATGGAAGAATAACTTATTCAAACTCATCATAATTTTGTAAAACCCAAATAATAAATGGAAAAGCTTGAAGTTTTTTATGGTCATCAATGGTGAATTCTTCCTATTGTAATTTTATAGATTTTAAATCTCAATTTGCACATACAATTTTGTACAATTTTTGGGTCTTTATATTATTTTTCTTGTGCTATTTTGGGAGAAAATCGTGCAACATATGTATAAATTAATTTGAAAATATGGAACTTATAGATTATTATCTCTTTCCTTTTTTGAAATAATATTTGAAGATCATTGTTTGAATAAAAATTTTGTAGAAGAAGAAGAAAAGAGAAATCATATGTAGAGAAAGAGACACAAACACGAAATAAATGAGTCATATTGCTTTACAATTTTAATTCCTTAAAATTCTCAAATTTATTTAAAAAGAAACTATTGTCATAAATGGTAAATATTTTCTCAATATAGCATATCTAAGTGATTTATCCGAAAATAAATTGGTCTCTATAAATACACTTATAACGACAGGATTTGGATACCTTCATTAAGAAATGGTCGTCAAAGAACAAGTTTCTTCTAGTAGAAGCAATTGATGTGAGAAAACGACGTTGAACAAGGAATATGGAGATTAACTTCAAAATAAGTATTTTAATCACCTTATTCCTTCTTCAACATCATTTTGCCATATCAATTTCATCGTAGATAACTCATTTTTCTCGAGATTTTTTCAATATAACTACCTCAAATAACAAAAAAAATAAATAAGTTTTCTAAATTTTTTCTTTGGGTAAAGAATAAATAAAGAACAAAATTGGAGTTTGATCAATTTTCTTTCATTTTTGGGTTGTACTGCGGTGGTTCTTATCACTGTCAGTCATATTAGAAAAGTAATGTGAAATGGTGCAATGAAAATGGTTGTGTGGTTTAGTCTACAACTAAAGAAATCTATTTATAGGGAAAAATGGAGAAATTGGTCAAAAGCTAATTAATGTACAGATAAAAATTTGTGAATACATTTTTTTCCTTTAGATTTTCTTAAAATTGCCAAAATGTTATTTATTAGATTTTCTCAAAAATTAAAAGTCTTATTTTTTGTTTTACTAAGTTTTTTTTTGGGGATATTTTATTTAATGATGAATTTAACTTAATCAGAAACATGTATTAGTCAATATAGTAGTTAAACTAGTTTGTTAGTCATTAAAGTGGTCAAATTATTAAATTTATGACTGGTATACATCATTAAATTTTGTTATACGTATATCTTATAATGTGATAAGTACATATTACTTGAAAATTAATGAATAGTTGACTAATATAATTGTTAAAGACTATTGTTTAAAAGTGAAATAATTAATATATAAATCGTAAAATGGATGAGTAAATTTTTTGGGTAAAGAGTTTGAAATATATTTGAACTTTGATGAAAACTATTGTAACAATTTTAATTTTTGGACATGACTTCTAACCCCATTACTATTTAATACTGTATTTAAAGATATATTGGTGCACACATGAACATTATAAATCTTGCATTATTATAAATAGTAACATGTCCAGCTAAACACTTATATATCATTAAAATACACTATTAAATAGTGTAGAGGAGTAACAAGTCTTACCCAAAGTTTGAAATTGTTACCACAATTTCAGTCAAATTTCAAATATTTTTCCCAAACAACAACAACAACAACAACAACAACAACAACAACAACAACAATAATAACAATAACAATAATATGCTATACTATCTATAAAAAGTAGGGAGCAAGGATGACAAATAAATCTTTTCAATTTTTTTGTTTTCGATTATCAATAATATTGAAGTGTTGTTATTCAGGATGATAATGTGACATGTCTTATCACATATATTTATTCTGTGATATATCTTACCATATATCTCCTTTTTATTAAAATATGTTGTCACATGTATCCTTTCTGTTGGTATACATGCAGATAAATATGTGGTGTTTTTTACAACACAAGCTATATATGTCGCCACAAACACCACATTTCTTCCTCTGCATCATATTTGACATTTA